CATTGATAACGTCCTCACCGTTTGCAGATGGTTCTTCAAATCATTCTTTGTGAACCCAACAAACTTCCGACCACCACCAGCCCTACTAATTGCATTATACGAAGAAGTCACACCAATACCAGCAGCATCATTCACCTCTGCCAACATCTTATACACAGGAGCCATTCGTCTGCTGGATCTCACATAGTGACGCAGAGACTCAGGAATCATGTCATGGTTGTGCACATTATACCAACGATAGATCTTGTAGCATTTAAACTCTTTAAACCACCTCAGTCGTATATAAGCACCATTACATCCACCCCTGAGTTCTGGAACATTACGAACACGAACATTCGTATCAACAACACCTGCATTATCAGGGTTATTCTCGCTACCTCTTCTCCAACCTTCCTTATTGCAACAATACTTGATATAATATACAGCTGAAGAACCACCATTGAGCTTCGGACATGCTGATTGGTTATAAATCCTCACACCAAAACCTTCATGATTCCCATAATCCACATAGAAATTGTATGCATCATCTGGTGTATTAAACTGTAAGTCCTTCCAAGAATCACGAACAGTAGGATATATACCATTGAAACCTATAAACATTATGAAGCAACATATTAAATATGTACGAATATAATACCACCATGGTATGATATGGTAAAATGGATTCCACACCACAACAGTATGAAATCTCAATGTATACCAATAATTACAGCCATGATACAAGAGTTACCACCATGGTATAATATGGTAAAATGAATTTCATGCCACACAGAATCACATCTCATCATATTACCACACTATACCACATGGTATAGCATGGTAAAACCAAACTACCACACTATACCACATGGTATTGCATGGTAAAATCAAATTACCACACTATACCACATGGTATGGCATGGTAAAATCAAATTACCACACTATACCACATGGTATGACATGGTAAAATCACTTACAGCAGCAACAAAAATCCCAAAAAACCACACTATACCACAAACTATACATGATAACATCAAATTACCATATTTTACCACATGGTATGACATGGTAAAATCAATTATCACACATAACCCCACCTTTAACTTGAAACTACCACACTATACCACATGGTAAGGCATGGTAAAATCAAATTACCATATTTTACCACATGGTATGACATGGTAAAATCAATTATCACACATAACCCCACCTTTAACTTGAAACTACCACACTATACCACATGGTAAGGCATGGTAAAATCAAATTACGACACTATACCGATGATTCCAACCATGGTACAAGTAATTACCACCATGGTATGATATGGTAAAACTTAAATACAGAGCACAATAACATCACAACACAACACTATATTATCACCTCTCATCGTATACCAGTAATTACCACCATGGTACCATATGGTATCTAACACATTCAAACTTCAATAAACAAACAAATTTGTATATCTTACCTCCGGATTCACCAGAGTTAGCTAAATGACCCAATCCAAGATCGATAGATGAAGAAGCAGTTCCAACAACGCTAGATGAAGAACCAGATCCTACAACGCTGGTTGAAGAACCAGATCTATCAAATGGAACAACATCGCCACAATTTACGTAACTCATCTCACCAGAATACTGCAAAAAAACCAAAACACAAAAAACATAACACATGAACAAGCTCGATTAGCTAAATAGAACACACAAAAGAAACTCATAGAAAGTAAATTCTACAAAACTTACAACGAAACCAGAGAAACTTAAACACGCTCGATTAGCTAAACATGAACAAGCTCGACTAGCAGCAATGAAAAACCTCCAACGAAACCAGAGATCGTCAAAACGCTCAACGAAACCAAAGATAAACAGAAAACTCGATTAGCTAAACAGGAAGAATCAAAAAAACTAATATCTAACCTCGCTGTCGATCAAATATGGAGAATCAGAAAGCTCGATTCGATTAGCTGCTGCTCGCAGTTTCCATCGCCGTCGATCAATTATGGAGAATCAGAAAAGATTCGCCGTCACCTGTTTCTCAGCTGATGCTCGCAGCTTTCTCTCTCCAAAAACCGAATCCAACTCGCGCACACGTCGATCAATTAGGGAGAATCATAAACCTCGATTCGATTAGCTGCTGCTCGTCCATCAATTATGGAGAATCGCCGTCCCCTGTTTTTTAGCTGCTGCTCGTAGTTTCTCTCTCCAAAAACCGAATCCAACTCGCGCGCAGAAAAGATCCTCAACGGACAAAAGGGGGAAGTCATTAATTCAAATTTCGGACAAAACTGCCCCTGACCATCACCGCATCATCCACATCCACACGATCAGCCCGGCCCAGATCTACGGTCCTAAGGTGGTTAGTCACCCTATCCCAAACTGAGAGGCATGAGTTCTCCTTGGTAGACTCGTCTTGTCCTTTGTCAAGTGAAAGTATCTAAGCAAGTACAGCCTTCTCTTTATCTTTCATTGAGGTCCCAGGGGTGATTCGGCCGGTGCGAGGCCAGCTGATAGCAATATCAAGTGTAAGTTCTCCTCCCTACATCAAAATTCAGTTTTCTTGGGGGATAGATATGTACCATCATCAGCAAGGCAAGATCATGCACCATCCTTCTTGGGGGATAGATATGTACCATCATCAGCAAGGCAAGAGCATGGGTGTTGTTACAGTATCCGCTCGCAAGAAACAGCAGCGCAATTTGTTAAGTTTGTAGATACATACAAGATAGAGTTAGGTAACTGAGTGTCATGAGTTCTCCTTGGTAGACTCGTCTTGTCCTTTGTCAAGTGAAAGTATCTAAGCAAGTACAACCTTCTCTTTATCTTTCATTGAGGTCCCAGGGGTGATTCGGCCGGTGCGAGGCCAGCTGATAGCAATATCAAGTTTAAGTTCTCCTCCCTACATCAAAATTCAGTTTTCTTGGGGGATAGATATGTACCATCATCAGCAAGGCAAGAGCATGCACCATTCTTCTTGGGGGGATAGATATGTACCATCATCAGCAAGGAAAGAGCATGGGTGTTGTTACAGTATCCGATCCCAAGAAACAGCAGCGCAATTTGTTAAGTTTGTAGATACATACAAGATAGAGTTAGGTAACTGAGTGGCATGAGTTCTCCTTGGTAGACTCGTCTTGTCCTTTGTCAAGTGAAAGTATCTAAGCAAGTACAGCCTTCTCTTTATCTTTCATTGAGGTCCCAGGGGTGATTCGGCCAGTGCGAGGCCAGCTGATAGCAATATCAAGTGTAAGTTCTCCTCCCTACATCAAAATTCAGTTTTCTTGGGGGATAGATATGTACCATCATCAGCAAGGCAAGAGCATGCACCATTCTTCTTGTGGGATAGATATGTACCATCATCAGCAAGGCAAGAGCATGGGTGTTGTTACAGTATCCGCTCCCAAGAAACAGCAGCGCAATTTGTTAAGTTTGTAGATACATACAGGAACAGGATAGAGTTAGGTAACTGAGTGGCATGAGTTCTCCTTGGTAGACTCGTCTTGTCCTTTGTCAAGTGAAAGTATCTAAGCAAGTACAGCCTTCTCTTTATCTTTCATTGAGGTCCCAGGGGTGATTCGGACGGTGCGAGGCCAGCTGATAGCAATATCAAGTGTAAGTTCTCCTCCCTACATCAAAATTCAGTTTTCTTGGGGGATAGATATGTACCATCATCAGCAAGGCAAGAGCATACACCATTCTTCAAGAATACCAATCCCATCAGAAAGGCATTTGTTCCTGCAAGGTGGGAATGGCCCAGGAGACTCTGGACTTGTCCTTTCAACAGATGCAAAGCCAAGACTTAAGTGGACGCTAGATCTGCATGAGCGTTTCGCGGAAGCAGTCAACCAACTAGGAGGAGTAGACAGTGAGTGTTGGCCAAAACGTTCAACTCAAGCCCTCTAAGAAATGTAAATTTATGTTAAATAATACCGATTTTCTTTTATTGTTACTTTGTAGAGGCTACTCCGAAAATGGTTATGAAACTTATGGGAATTCCTGGGCTCACGCTATACCACCTAAAGAGCCACTTACAGGTAACTACTTATATCAATAACTAGTTGTTCTCTCTTACATCCCACAATTAATCATATAAGATGCATGTTTTAGAAGATTGTACTACCCGGTAAATTACAAAGCAAATGAATTTTTTTCTTTTTCTATAACAAAATGTAACTGTTAATGACTTCCGTAACTCACTATTTTCATTAAGTTCCTTCACTTACATTCATTAAAAAATGTGAAAGAGGGGAGTGCACAGTAAAGAGCCAAATTAGCAAATAGCAACAAAGTAGTAATTAGGGATTAGGAGAAGAATTGGGGATTTGGGGAAGAACGGCCGAGGCCTTTGAGGAAGAAAGACAGACGAGGTTGAGAGAGAACAAAATAGGATTTTGGGAGATAATTGTTTTACTGATTTCTGCTTCATCGAAAGAATGGCCCAAAGTACATATTTATAGCTATAGAATGGAAAACCCTAATAGACTATCCTAATATGACTCAAAGTCTACTAACTATATCTAATAAAATCCTAATATTAATAATAATGATAATTATGATAGACCTAGAAATTAGGTTTCTATCATCCCCTCCCCCTTGAGACCAACCTTGTCCTCAAGGTTGCAAGTCAACTTCCCTTTCTCGACCTTCCTCTTTCTTCGCTTCCAATTGCGCTTAGTCTCACGGTGGAATTCTTCTCTGAAATCTTTAATGTCTCTTGACTTCTCTTCCACCTCGTGACACTTTCATAGATTTCGAAAGAGAGGAGGAGTCACGTTCCCCATTGCCAAACAATTCGTCCTCCTCTCTTTCGAAATCTATGAAATAAGAGTTGGATAATTGTTCTTCTTGGAGCTCCTTGTCACTAACCAGCTTGAAATCGTCAAGGAAATACTCCACAAATTCCTTAACGGGCTTGGCGGTGAAAACAAGCTCTAGCTTTTGCCAACCTCCTCTTCCTTTATCTTTGACTTGGCCCATAATTTTTTGGGAGGCAGAGATGTGGCCCAGCCCGAGGTTAAATCCTCATATGCTCCATTTGTCTCCCAACTTGATTGTGCATAAGTCCTTTGAAAGCCCATCTGCCTTCATAAGAGCTCCCTCCACACCTGCCTTCTTCAAATCACAAGCAACATTGGGCTTAAGCACTTCCTGAAACGGCCCACTTTCCTCTAGTCTCTGCCCATTTCCAAACTCATTTGCAGACCAATTCACTTTCACTTCTGGCCAACTCTGCTGCTCTGTTCTCAGCCCACTAGACTGGTCCGGCCAGCCCATAACGAGCCCTGCCAGAGTCAGCCCATACTCTAGGCCTGCGTGGCCTGCTTTCTCCTCCAACATAACTTGGCCCAACCTGGCCGTTGATAGCGATAGCCAGCCCAATGTTGGCGATCTAGGGTTCACGAGGAAGGAGAACTAGCCGCCACAATCCTCCTCTGTCTTCTTCTCGCGCGTAGCGTCGCCCGTTGCAGCCAGCTTCATATGTTCCTCCATCGCCGGTACCCCCTTCTCCGGTGGCAATGGCTTCGCTAGGCGGTGGAGATACGAACTCGACCCGGCCACCATTGTCCTCAGATCCATCTTCCCGAACTCACCTCCCGTCGACTCTGTCTTCCCTCTTTCCGACGACATTGCCACGAACGGCTTCCCATTCGATGTCGCTGCGAAGAGAGTCGTAGAGCTCGCCCTTGGCTTCGTCTTCATGTTAACCAGCCTTTGCAACTCGTTTTCTTACGGCGGCTGCTCCTCCATCTCCTTCCTCGACTTCCTCGGCGGAAACTCCAGCCGGATTTTGACGTTTCTATCCCGTCGATAGACGTTGCGAACGGCTCCAAATCCGGCGGCGGTTCCTTCGCCTCCTCGTCGTCTGACGTCATAGCCGCCTTCTTCCTTCGTTCGCGCGCCTCGCACTTCTCGCTTAAAGTGGTGTTGGAATCTGTCGCCAATCGTCGCATTCCGCCTGCGGTTCGCAACTCCGGCAGCTCGTTCTTCATTGCCGCGATCGTCAACAACGCCATTCAGAGAGATGGTGTCGAGTGGCCACTCGATGGACGCAGTGCCACCTGCGCAACTCACGCTGCTGGAGAGGAACCCCAACGACCCGTGGCCACAAACAGCTCCAGGCACGCAGGTCGCATGTCAGGCGAGTTTGATGCCGCCGTGCGGGACCCACAGTTGACGCCCATTAGCTGCCAGCCGGGGTTCGTCATCTTTTTCCGAAATCTCCAGTTCGCAACACTTCCCGACGTTGGTCCCTTCTCTGCATCCTCAGCCAGCTTTTCATCTTCAGAGGCGGTTGCCCTCTTATCGTCGGGAACAGTGGCGGTAACGACAAGGTCTCTTTCCCTTTTTGACTCAACATCGAGGTTCCTCTGCTCCGCGTTCACTCTCGCCGGCCACCGCTGAATTTCCCTTGGCTTCATCAATGTTGGCGTGATGGCCATGGAGAAGTCTAGGGCAATGGATTGTTGATGGTGGTGCCACTGTTGCGCTACGGTGATTGGTGTTGCTGTCCCGACCTGATAGTACGGCTGGTCGGTGGTGGCAGCTGAAGTCAGCGAGTCCGGCAATTGATAGCATCGTATTTGCACATGTTTTCACCTTTGTTTCCTGACCATTTTAGCTCGAATTTGTTGTTACTTGGCCTATTTTACGCTAGGTTGTGTTGTTTTGGCGTATTTCAGGTCCTATCAAGTAAAGAGGTGCATAGGCGCAAGTTTCGGGTCATTTGGAGGTCGAGGTGCATTTCAAAGAGAGAATTACGGGCAACCTCTGCACAATTACGGTCGTAATTGCTACTGGCATGCCCGTAACTTCAATGTCGAGCCTAATTTCCAGAATTCCTGTCGCAGAATCAATTACGGGCAAGAGTCACTATAATTACGGTCGTAATTCAGTAATTACTGGCGGTAATTGGCAAATTACGACCGTAAATCCTGTCTTCCGAGTCAAGTGAAACGCGCGTTTTGAGCAATTACGGGCAGACCACAATTACGGTCGTAATTCTGACCGTAATTCGCCCAGAATCGGGTTTTTGAGGCAGATTCGAGCCAAAACAGAGGGAATCGAATTTTGAGAGAAAAAACAGAGCCCTAGAGAGAGAAAGTGCGAAGAACTCATCCTAGAAGCGATCTTGGAGCTGGGTTTCATCAAATCGAGCTTGGAGATCATCATAGGAGTGAAAATCATCATCACGGAGCAGATTATCCTCATCGTTATAAGTATGACTACTCTAATTTATGTTTTCCTCTCTCTCTCTCACTATGGAGTAGAACCCTCTTTCACTTGGGTATGAAGAACCCTAGTTCCATGTGTTAGGGATTTGATTGTAATGACTTAGGATGATTATACTGTTTGGTTTTAATCGAATGATGCATGTTTCATTGAATTAATTGAAGTATGATCATCTTTTCTTGATTTCTGCTGCAACCTGAGATAGATAGAATCTGATTAGGTTGTTAGAGCTTCATCATTCGTTAGTAGTGGATTGGTTATACGAGAGTTAGCCACTCTACTGCTTTGTACTGGAATCCAATTCTAGTAGTGGAGTTCTGTGCTTATTGCTTCAGCTTTCTATCCCGGTGAAGACTAGTCGTCTGCTGGGTAGTTAGACTGAGAGGGCTTGGTCAGCTTATGAGATTCCAAGCTACTGTTGGATCTTCCGCAGTTTAATCAACAGTAAATCAACCCAGGATAATTACAGCTGAGACCTAACTAAGGAGCTAGGGGGACTCATTCCCGAGTGACTCTTTCTTGCTTCAGAAAACCAAACCAATTCCTGCTTTCTTTCTGCTTTCAGTTAAGACCAAATTCAATCGACTTAGTTTGCTAGATAATAGATAATCACAGAGTAGGCAGTAGATCTAGACCCCGGGTTGATATTTAGAACTTGCCACTTTACTACATTCCCGGACTGCGATTACACTTGGTCGCAGTTCGGTGTTGTGTTTTGCCGTGTCAAGTTTTTGTCGCCGTTGTCGGGGACATCTAGGTTATTGGGGAAACGTGAAAGTTTGTTACTCTAGTTTTTTCTTTATTGCATTTTATCTCTTCCACATCTGTGCCTTCACGGGTTGCTTCTGTTGATTGTGTGCAGGTAGTGCATGACCCGTAGCCAGTTGGGAGATCTACTACCATTAGACTAGGAGCTTGAACGAACCTGCATGAACTTCAAGCGGGCTCTAAAGGCACGACTGGCTGCGGAGGAGGCGTTAGCACAGCTGCAAATCGCCGACAAAGAAGAGATAGGTGATCCACAGGACCATGATGTGGTCCTTCCTGAGGAACAAACCATGGGATACTACTGGACCGCTAGGGCCGCGAACATGAGGTCGCCCATTCAACACCCTCATGTGCCAGCAAACAACTTTGAGGTGAGCACCTCTGTAATCACCATGCTGTGCGGTTCGGTGGTGTTCCGTGGCAAGGAGGGGGAGTGTCCCCGATCAAATCTGAGGCGATTCCACGAGCTCATCGATGGAATCAAGATAAATGGGGTCTCAGCCGATGCCATCCAGCTGAGGTACTTCCTGTTTACCCTGGAGGGGCAGGCCAAGGAGTGGCTGGACACTCGACCTCCAGGCTCTATCACCACGTTTGCCAACCTGGCGGACAAGTTCCTCACCCGCTACCACCCCCCGTCCAAGACGGTGGACCTGCAAAAGCAGATTACCCATTTTGCTCAGGATGAAGACGAGACCATCTGAGATGCCTGGGAGAGATACACTAGTCTCTTTCTCAAGTGTCCCAACCATGGTTTTACTGATGCCTTCAAGGTGGGAACCTTCTACCATGCCCTCTTCCCGGAGGACAAGCAGCTGATTGATTCGGTCTGTGGCGTGAATATGCTCATCAAAACACCGCCCCAGCTGAATTAACTTTTTGAGGAGATGGCAGAGCAGGGCTATGATTGGGGAACTGCGAGGAGATCGAGACGAGCACCAGGACGGGGTGTGCATGTTGTATCCACCCAGTCATCTAATTTGGTGCAGGTGGTATCGAAGCTAGTTTTAGCCATCGATCATTCCGGGATGATTGCAGGTACCGGACAACAGCAGGCGATGCTCTGCCAATGGTGTGAGAGTTCTCATCACGCCGTGGAGGATTTCCAGGAAATGAGGGAGTCTTCTACTCCCCAGGAGCATCTGGACTTCATCGGCAATGCCAGGCGCTTCGACCCCTACAACAAACTTACAACGAGGCGTGGCGCCATCATCCCAACTTCTCCTGGGGTGGGGCAAATTCTCGACCACCAGTCCCCTAGGGACCACCTGGTTTCCAAAGGCCTCCTTACCAGCCCATACAAGGGCAATTTCAGCAGCCACAGCAGCCTCTCTACCCACCCAGACAAGGGCCAGTTCCACCTCAGTCACAGATGCAGCCATTTCATCAGACAGGGGCAGCACCTGCAGCCCCAGCACAGAGTGACCTGATGGCGGAACTGCGAGATGTGGTGCGTTCTCTGGCCACCTCCAGTGCAAACAAGTTCAATAACATCGAGCAGTTCATGGAGAAAGCTTCAGGCAATTCATGGAGCTAGAAGATGGTCAGAGAAACAAGCAGGGTGTGCTTCGGGATATCCAGACCCAGCTTGGTAGTGTTGCCCAGGCTGTAGCTCAGAGGCCTCCTGGTACTCTACCCGGACAGACCATCCCTCATCCGCAGAACCCGAATGAGCACTGCAAGGCCATTACCACCAGGAGTGGCAAGGTTACTGCCGATCCACCTGTTCGGGCAGAAGAGAGAGACTCCTGCTTCAGCACTTCCGGTTAATGAAGAGGAAATGGAGAAGGAAGTTGAGGTGCCCGCCCCTAAACTGAAACCAGTGGTGAAGGAGTATGTACCCCAACTTCCCTTTCCTACTCGGTTGCACAAGGACCGACTGGAGACTGAGTTTGCCAAGTTCATGGAAATGCTGAAGCAGGTGAATATAAGCATGCCCTTCGTGGAGGAATTATCAAAGATGCCCAAGTATGCCAAGTTCATGAAAGATCTCCTCACCAACAAGAGGAAGCTTGGGGAGCTGTCAACGGTGATGCTCAACGAGGAGTGTTCTGCCATCCTGCAGAACAAACTACCAGAGAAGCGAAAAGACCCAGGGAGTTTCACCATCCCTTGCATGATTGGTATATGCATATAGGGAAGTCCTTGGAGAATTTAGGCACTAGCATAAACGTCATGCCATATAAATTGTTTAAAAAGCTAGGCCTAGGTGAACCCAGTGATACTAGGATGAGCATTCAACTTGCTGATAGATCCATTGTGCATCCTAGGGGCATTGCAGAGGACTTGATAGTCGCAGTAGGGCCATTCTCTTATCCTGTTGATTTTGTGATTTTGGACATAAATGAGGATGTGGATGTGCCATTGATATTGGGTAGACCTTTTCTCGCCACCGCCAAGGCGCTCATTGATGTGAATGGTGGAAAACTGATTTTGCGAGTTGGGGGTGAACAAATCACCTTCTCTGTTTTTGATAATATGAAACACCCCCAGCTCCATGATGATCTAGATTACTGTGATGTTGTTGCTGATTTTGAGACCGCACTGGCCATCACGAGTGCGGGTACTGACGATTTCCTTGAGCGTTGTCTTTTGCTAGGGGAACAGGCATCACAAGATATGCAGCTGGAGGAGCAGCTCGCGGAGCTTGACGAGGCCGCGATCGAGGGGCGAGAGATACCATTCAAGCCGATCCCTATCTCGCCCCGGATCGCTACATCATTGGAGGAGCCACCAGAGCTGGAGCTTAAGCTCCTCCCCTCTCACCTGGAGTATTCATTTCTCCGGGAGGGGAATAAGCTCCCGGTCATTATTAGCTAGGATCTGACACCCGAGCAGAAGAGCAGGCTGGTGGCTCTGCTGCAGAAGTATGTCTGTGCCATGGCATGGAAGATCACAGATATCAGAGGAATTAGCCATCCTTCTGCTCCCACAGAATTCTGATGGAGGATGAGGTTAAGCCAGTCAGGCAACCGCAGCGGAGATTGTCTCCTAACTTGGAGGCAGTGGTCCGGGCAGAGATTGTGAAGCTCATAGATGCAGGAATCATCTTTGCTATATCTGATAGCAAGTGGGTCAGCCCCACTCAGGTGGTCCCGAAGAAAGGTGGGATGGCCGTGGTCCCGAATGAGAAGAAAGAGCTGATCCCGATGCGGATCGTGACCGGCTGGAGAGTCTGCATCAATTACCGGCGCCTGAACAACGCCACTAGGAAAGACCATTTCCCCCTACCTTTCATTTATCAGAAGCTGGAGAGGTTGGCTGGCCATGAGTTTTATTGCTTCCTGGATGGCATGTCTGGGTATTTCCAGATTCCTATTGCACCAGAGGATCAGGCGAAGACCACATTCACTTGCCCCTTCGGCACTTTTGCTTACCGGAGGATTCCATTCGGGTTGTGTAATGCACCGGCGACCTTCCAGAGATGCATGATGGCGATCTTCGACCGACTGGTCAGAGAGATCATGGAAGTCTTCATGGATGACTTCTCGGTTTATGGAGACTCCTTCACTCATTGTCTCCATAACCTGGAACTCGTTCTGAAGAGGTGCGAGGAGACTAATCTGGCACTCAACTGGAAGAAGTGTCATTTTATGGTCTGTGAGGGGATTGTGCTCGGGCACAAGATCTCCAAGCAGGGAATTGAGGTTGATCGCGTGAAGATTGAGACGATCAGTAAGCTACTTCCTCCCGTTTCTGTTAAGGGGATTCGCAGTTTTCTGGGTCATGCAGGCTTCTACCGGCGCTTCATTAAAGATTTCTCGAAAATTGCACTGCCTCTGACCAAGCTGCTGGAGAAGGATGCACCATTCCAGTTCACTCCTGAGTGCACAGCTGCATTCGAGGCTCTGAAGAAGAAGCTTACCCATGCACCTATCATGGTGACTCCTGACTGGTCTCTTCCTTTTGAGCTGATGTGCGATGCGAATGATTATGCAGTCGGAGCAGTTATGGGTCAGAGACGCGGGAAGCACTTCCAGCCCATCTACTACGCATCAAAGACCTTGAACGATGCACAGGAGAATTACACCACCACTGAGAAGGAGCTCCTCGTTGTGGTGTATGCGTTTGATAAGTTCCGACCCTATCTGGTGATCTCCCATGTGGTGGTCTACACTGACCACTCGGCGATTCGCTACATGATGAGCAAGGCTGACGCAAAGCCTATGCTCATCCGCTGGATCCTGCTTCTACAGGAATTTGATATAGAAATCCGAGACAAGAAGGGAGCCGAGAATGTTGCTGTAGATCATCTTTCACGGTTGGAAGCCCCTCCGGTGGACAACTTCGTGGAAGAGATCGATGACTCCTTCCCGAGTGAGAGATTGCTGGCGATGACACTGGTGGAAAGCATGGTCCCTTGGTATTCTGCTTTGCCAATTATCTGGTGGGCAAGCAGCTACCGCAGGGGATGGCCACTCATGCAAAGCGCAAGTTCTTCTCCGACCTGAAGCATTACTTCTGGGAGGATCCTTACCTCTTCAGGATCGGAGCAGATGGCGTGATCCGGCGCTGTGTCATGGAGCACGAGATGGGAGACATCTTGTCTCAATGCCACGAGGGGCCTACTGGAGGTCACCATGGAGGAAACCGCACGGAGCGGAAGGTGCTACAGTCGGGCTTTTATTGGCCCTCACTCTTCAAGGATGCAGACACCTTCACACGACAGTGCGACCGCTGCCAAAGGTCAGGTAACATTTCTGCCCGGGATGAGATGCCCCAACATATTTATGTCATCTGTGAAATTTTTTATGTTTGGGGTATCGATTTCATGGGCCCCTTCCCTCCATCTTTTGGCAATCTATACATTCTGGTTGCAGTGGACTACGTCTCGAGGTGGGCAGAAGCTCAAGCCATGCCCACCAATGATGCAAGATGGCTCTGCTCATTTCTGAAGCAGCTGTTCTCCCGGTTCGGGACACCCCGCACCATCATTAGTGATAGAGGAACCCATTTTCAAGGGCAATTCACTAAACTCCTCTCTCGCTATGGTGTTAAGCATCTGGTGTCGGTGGCTTACCACCCCCAGTCAAATAGGCAAGCCGAGCTGACGAACCGGGAGCTTAAACGGATAATTGAAAAGACGGTGGATCAGTCCCGCAAGGATTGGTCCACCAAGCTCGATGATGCTCTTTGGGCATATAGGACGGCCTATAAAAACCCGATTGGCACTTCTCCCTATAGGCTTGTCTATGGGAAGGCGTGTCATCTGCCAGTAGAGCTAGAGCACAAGGTCTTCGGGGCCATTAAGCTGCTAAACCTGGATTTGAGTGTTGCAGGTACTGAACGTAAGTTGCAGCTGCTGGAGTTGGAGGAATGGTGTTACCACGCCTACGAGAACACCCTGCTCTACAAAGAGCGAACCAAGCATCTCCACGACGCTCGGTTAAGGGGCCCGAAGGAGTTTCAGGTAGGTGATCGTGTTTTGCTCTTCAATGCACGCCTGAAACTCTTTCCAGGCAAGCTACGTTCGAGGTGGTCGGGACCCTTCACGGTCACCCAAGTTTTCCCGCACGGTGCGGTGGAGATCGGCAATGCTCAAATCGAGCCATTCAAGGTGAATGGCCACCTCCTAAAGTTGTACTTGGGAGGTGCTGTCGAGCGCGCAGAGCTGCTGATCAAGCTCGAGGACACTTAGTTCCTCTATTGGCGTCCCGCTAAAAGAAGGTAAGTAAGCGCTTGTGGGGAGGCAACCCCACTACGGTTTGCATTTCTGTCCTTTTTCCTTTTCAATTTTTGTCGGTTTTTGAGTCTGTGAGTCTGTCTGGAGTCTTTCTGGAATGTTTCTCGTGCCCCGGATGGTATATTTTTGTCTGTGGTGGTGTGTATTTTCAAGCTGGGGCACGAATGATGTTTGCCGTTCGAAATTGTGGTTTCAAAATCTGAGAAAAGGGCTCGCGGCAGTGAAATTACGGGCAAGGGGGGCCAATTACGGTCGTAATTTGTCATTCCCCTGCCCGTAATTATCTCAGAAGAGGGGATTTGTCTCGGCAGTGAAATTACGGGCAGGATCAGACTAATTACGGTCGTAATCCTACCCGTAATTAGCATAGGGGAGCAGTTTGCTCGCGACGTTAAAATTACGGGCTGAGTAGGGGCGAATTATGGTCGTAATTATGCCCGTAATTGCTCCTGGAGATTTAAATTTCGGGCAAAGCCCATAAAATCTTTCTCTCTCCTCATTTTTCGGGTCGCCCTCTCTCTCTCCTTCACCGGAAAATCGCCCCTCTTTTCTTCTCAGGTGGTTTTCCGGCCATAACTCCCTCACCGGAGCTCCAAATAAAAATCCGAGACCACCACCGTGCTCCTCTCGTCGGCGCGCTCAAGCCTATACTAGTGGGTTCGAGTATGGCGGTGGTTTGGGTCGCCGGAAAACCGCGACCCTTCGGTGTTCTTTCGGCCCGATCTCCCTCCTCCGACCTCCAATCGGAAAACCGTGACCAACACTGCGTTCCTGGCATCTGGGGCCTCATTCCACAAAGTTTTGGGTCAGTTTGGAGGTGGTGAAGTCGCCAGCGATGAAACTCCGGCGAGCCTTCCGTTGAGTTTCCCGACGATTGTCGTGTTCTCTCACTCTTCCCTCGCCTTCCCCGTGATACCTCCTTGTGCCTCCAGGTGTGCTTCTCTATTTTTACTTGTGAATTGTGGAGGATTGGTATTATGGGTTTAGTGAGGAAATTCGGGGGTTGGGTTGTGCTTGAATGAATTCGGTAGGCCTACGGTATTGCATGCTTTGTTGTTACTACTTTGGTTGGCCTACCGGGCTGCATGTGTTTGTGATTGTCCCACTTGGAGCCTAATTTGCTGTCCGGGTTTACTATCCTAGGGCTCCAAGTGCGTTTAATCTTGTGTGGATGGTGAATGGTCTTGAATGTTGTTTCCTCCCCTGGGCCTAGTCCACTGTCTGGATTTTATGCTTCGAGGGCCCCAGGTGCGGATGATTGTGAACTCACCATTGAAAATTTTCCATGTATGTTGTTGTGTTTTTGCTGTTTTTTGGCTGCAGGACAATGAACACTTACCTGAACATGCTCGACGCCGACCAGAGGAAGACTCTGCGGGATATCCGACGACGCAAAGTCGTTCAGCACCACTACCTCAATTGAGCGGTCTTCGAGGCTCTGGGTGCTCGCGAGGCAATGGAGGCTGCCATCCGCGCTTACTCTTGGCGCCGCCTCCTCTGCCTTGCTGAGCCGATCTATCAGGAGCTCCTCTGGGAGTTCTATTCCACCTTCGAGCACTTCCAGACCCACAAGGGCGCGCACGGCAACGCCATTCAGTTTCGACTTGGCAGGGTGTCTTACTCCCTTAGCTATGATGACTTCGGTCGGGCATTGGGGCTCCTTCCACCATTCGCCTGCCACCTGGCCATCGAAGAGCCCGACAGTCCCATCTTTCGGGACCTGCAATTCTTCGAGAGGATCTGCCTCCTAGAGTTCGCAGGCATGTGTTCACACCGGGCTACACCACGGCTACTCAGCTGCACCCAGAGTGGCACATCCTCAACCAGCTGTTGGGGAAATCGAACACCACCAGCGATGGCTCCACCAGTCATCTTCAGCTTCGCACCTTGCACTGCCTGCACTCCATCAGCCAGGAGGAAGACAATCTTCATTTGTTCTCTCCATCGCCAGGACGGTCGGCAAGGCTTCTCGCTGTGGTCGTGCTCTGGCTTGTGGGCCGGTAGTCACTGCCCTGGCCCGGTACTTCAACATCGACCTCTCCGGGTTCACTGTCATCCTCCCACCCCGACACCCTTCTCCAAGGACACCCTCCGGCGCCAACTGATACTACTGCGGGACGGGGACGTGACCTGGATCCGCGGGCTTCCTCGTCCTGTTCCTCGTGCACCAGAGGCCGAGGATATCCCCGAGGCGAGCGATGTTGCCGCTCGTCGGACCACTCGTTGGACCAATCGTCGGACCACGCCTTCTGCAGCTAGTGCATCCACTTCTGCTGCCGGCCAGTTTGCTGCTGCACCCACCTCCTACATTGCTGAGCAGCTGGCAAGCATTTCTCGCCAGAACGAGCATATCCTTGCTGGCCAGGAGCACATCAACGCCCGACTCGACCGTGAGCATTACATGATGAGCTACTGGAACATGGACCATGCTGATGTTAGCTACCCTTGGGAGGCTTCCTCGGGGCATGAGGATTTCTACCCGCATCGCACTGGCGACGGAGGCGATGAGAACTAATCTGGCTCGGCCTACTGGCCCATCGAGTTGGGCTCCATATTTTGTTTCCAGACTAAGACTCAGACTCCATATTGTGTTTCATTTTCTCTTGTCTTGTTTCTTTGGATTGTAGACTTGGAACTATGGTTTCTTTCACCCCATGTGTGTGTTTTGCTGACTATAGCTCTGTGTCGTTGGACTGGTCCTTATCCAGTCCTCTGCTATTGACTGGTCCGCCCTCCAGTCCCCGTTCCTGACCATTGTTTCACGGTAACATCATTCCCCTTCCCTCTGCTCCATTGAGGACACTGTCGCATTTAAGTGTGGGGGGGTTCTATGTATTTATTGGAACGTATATATGTGTGCTTGGGGCCTAGTCCGCTGTCCAAATCTCGAGATTTGAGGGCTCCAAGCACTGCTGTTTGCTTGATCATTTGGCAATGTGCTTTAATTGGTGAATCGAATGGCTTTGGAATTAATGCATGACAACTGGAATGTGACTAGGACAACCTATAATGATGTCTGAGACGTGTAGTAGAATTGTGTAGGAGTTCAGTTTTTCAACAGTTTGCTTACCAATTGTGACTTGGATTGATCACTTGTTCTTGACAGTCGTTTATGCATCTAGTTCAGGGAATCATAATGAGAGATAGAGCATGTAGGTAGCCATGTGAAATTTGAGCCTGCTCGTTTCTTTCTTGTGCGATAGTTCCCTCTTCCATGATGTGTAGCATTCATGTTGTCATTTGCTAAGATGATGGAGGCATAGGATTAGCCCACGACCAAATTGACTGTCTTGGTGTGTCATACCCCCTAGTCAGCCCCTTTGAGCCGTGTGTTATCCTTTCTTTCGGTCTACAATGAAAAATCATCCTTTTGCATCTCTTAGAAGGTTCCACAGAGTGGTTTTTACATGTTATCTGTTGTTTTTGCTAAATATAATGTGAGGGTTGGAGGTAGTGCTTAAAAACTGGGCATGTGTTTGAAAAATGTGGAGAGGTGGTGGTTCTCTTATGAAATGAAAAAAAAAATGAAAGAAAAACAAAGAAAAAAAATGAAAGCAAAAGAGAGCCACCACCAAAAATCTAAATAGTGCCCATTAAGTAGTGTTTCTTAGCAATCTGGCTTGGAAATACTAGCATTTATGTGACCTCCTTTGCTCTTGTGCTCTGAAGAATTTGAGTAATGCAGAGTAGCAGAAAGAAAGTACTGGTTCGATTGGCTGTGAGTTTGTTGGGTTTGGAAATGTGGAACCTTGTGCTATGAATACTTCCACCACCTAAAAGGCCTTTTCCCCATGTCCAAGACCCTAGCCATTCATTTGAACCTGTGTCTAAGACCTCCGGATTAGTTAGTGATGACAACCATTTATGTGAACTCTAACATTTAGAGGTTGCCGTCATGGTGAAGAGATGTTAGGGATTGAGAGAATAAGTATGCGCATTTTTCGCATCAAATTGTCCTGACCCCACTGGTCGAGAGTGAGCGATTCATTTCCTTGTTCTTTACACTCTTTACCCCGGTGAGGACCTAGATGGCTCGGTCTTGATTCTGATCTCTTGAGTTTTATGCATGAGTTGACTGTCTTGAATAAGTGGTTGAGTCAAGTCTAGGTTGGTTGGTGAATAGAAGGGAGACTCTTCCTTTACCCGATTTTGCTGCACTCGAATGTCCTCTGTGGTGGTTGTCCAGGTTGCGGTTGAAGTTGTTCAAGTGTGGATGTTTGAAAGCCAGCATAATTCCCGTGTTTCATGCCTATGTGATATGTCCCCAAGGGGTTGCATGATTGAGATATTTTGAGCTTACCTTGTATCTGACTTGGTTTGCTTGGGGACAAGCAAATGGTTAAGTGTGGGGGAATTTGATAGCATCGTATTTGCACATGTTTTCACCTTTGTTTCCTAACCATTTTAGCTTGAATTTGTTGTTCCTTGGCCTATTTCACGCTAGGTTGTGTTGTGTTGGCGTATTTCAGGTCCTAGCAAGTAAAAAGGTGCATAGGCGCAAGTTTCGGGTCATTTGGAGGTCGAGGTGCGATTCAAAGAGAGAATTACGGGCAGCCCCTGCACAATTACGGTCGTAATTGCTCCTGGCATGCCCTTAATTTCAATGTCGAGCCTAATTTCCCGAATTCCTATCGAAGAGTCAATTACGGGCAAGAGCCACTATAATTACGGTCGTAATTCAATAATTACTGGCAGTAATTGGCAAATTACGACCGTAAATCCTGTCTTCCGAGTCAAGTGAAACGCGCGTTTTGAGCAATTACGGGCAGACCACAATTACGGTCGTAATTCTGCCCGTAATTCACCCAGAATCGGGTTTTTAAGGCAGATTCGAGCCAAAACAGAGGGAATCGACTTTTGAGAGCAAAAACAGAGCCCTAGAGAGAGAAAGTGCGAAGAACTCATCCTAGAAGCTATCTTGGAGCTGGGTTTCATCAAATCGAGCTTGGAGATCATCATAGGAGTGAAAATCATCATCCCGGAGCAGATTATCCTCATCGTTATGAGTATGACTACTCTGATTTCTGTTTTCCTCTCTATCTCTCTCTCTCTATGGAGTAGAACCCTCTTTCACTTGGGTATGAAGAACCCTAGTTCCATGTGTTAGGGATTTGATTGTAATGACTTGGGATGATTATATTGTTTGGTTTTAATCGAATGATGCATGTTTCATTGAATTAATTGAAGTTTGATAAGCTTTTCTTGATTTCTGCTGCAACCTGAGATAGATAGAATCTGATTAGGTTGTTAGAGCTTCATCATTTGTTAGTAGTGGATTGGTTATACGAGAGTTAGCTAGTCTACTGCTTTGTACTGGAATCCAATTCCAGTAGTGGAGTTCTGTGCTTATTGCTTCAGCTTTCTATCCTGGTGAAGACTAGTCGTCTGCCGGGTAGTTAGACTGAGAGGGCTTGGTCAGCTTAAGAGATTCCAAGCTACTGTCGGATCTTCCGCAGTTTAATCAACAGTAAATCAACCCATGATAATTACAACTGAGACCTAACTAAGGAGCTAGGGGGACTCATTCCCGAGTGACTCTTTCTTGCTTCAGAAAACCGAACCAATTCCTGCTTTCTTTCTGCTTTCAGTTAAGACCAACTTCAGTCGACTTAGTTTGCTAGATAATAGATAATCACGGAGTAGACAGTAGATCTAGACCCCGGGTTGGTATTTAGAGCTTGCCACTTTACTGCATTCCCGGACTGCAATTACACTTGGTCTCAGTTCGGTGTTGTGTTTTGGCGTGTCAACAATCCTGCAAGGGTCGTGCAAAGCTGCTGGTGGTCGCCAGAGTCTTTCACGACCTGATCATCTTCTTCGGCTACAATTGGGGAAGTTATCCTTGGAACCCGGACGTTGAGATTGCATATTCCGAAGCCAGCACTATAGTATGCAACATCGTAGAATTCCTCGAGTTCGATGTGCCTCTTGAAACGGATCCATCTATGGTCGTAACCCAATGGACGCTCGGCCGTAATAATCAGATCATTCAATGACGTTCTATGTACCCTCTATGTGCTCTCTCTCGAACCTAGGCAAGAAGAAGGAGAAGCGAACGTGCCGACAATACTCCATCCTAGTGATGCTTGGTTCGAGGTCTTCAAACACACGTTCGTCCCTGGTTGAGAGTTGTGACGAACTCAGATTCATGATCATGGCTCTGATACCAAATGATAGAAACCCGCTTATTTGGATTTCTATCGATTTACGTAACCGGTAATTTAGAAAGGGGATTTAGGGATTGAGAATAGAAATTAGGGATTAGGAGAAGAATTGGGGATTTGGGGAAGAACGGCCGAGGCCTTTGAGGAAGAAAGACAGACGAGGTTGAGAAAGAACAAAATAGGGTTTTGGGAGATAATTGTTTTACTGATTTCTGCTTCATCGAAAGAATGGCCCAAAGTATATATTTATAGCTAAAGAATGGAAAACCCTAATAGACTATCCTAATATGACTCAAAGTCTACTAACTATATCTAACAAAATCCTAATATTAATAATAATGATAATTATGATAGACCTAGAAATTAGGTTTCTATCATCCCTAGAGTATCTACTTAGTGTCTCAGTTCTGCATTTTTGGAGCTAAAAGAACTGCAGGGTTTGTGCCCTCAGCACACACAAACAAACCCGCCCAATGATTGTTCTATTGACAGCTGTCTCACCTCTTGTGAAGGATCCCAAAAGGAACAAGAGATGCACAACATAGGGATGGGTTTGAGGCCCTACATCAGTAGTAATCTCTTGGAGGCAAAAGAACTTCCTGAAGGGAACATGCTACCGCAGTCTGACGTCAGGTGGAGAGAAGACATGAAAGAGAATAACAATATTTTTCTATCGTCACTTGGCAAAAGTGCAGAAAGGAGAGTCTTCCCTACTAACAGAAGATCTATTGATTTATCCATGAGTGTGGGACTCCATAAAGAAAGAGGGAATGCAAGTAACAGGTTTTCTGAAGGAATTTACAAAGGAATTACTGAGATTGACGTGTTCCCTGAACAGACTAACAAGCAGTCAGATTCAGTCATCCCAGAGAAGGAGAAATTGCCACAAGGATATCCATTGCCTTACTTCGGAACAGAGCTGGACTTGAACTCCCATGGTGAGATTGATGCTACGTTAGGCTGCCAACAGCTTGATTTGAATGGCTTCAGTTGGAATTGATGAAACCCGCGATGGATGAAGGACTAGTTTCATCCAACATGATTATGGCAGACAACCTATCACCATGATAACTTGCTGCTTAATAGCCCAAGTACCCATGGAAGAATTAATTATATTTAAGGAGAGTAGGTTACAGTGAGAGCATAACTCTAGAACTCCTGATGTACGTTTTTTATGCGTACGAAGCCATTGCGCGTCGATCCAGCCTCCAATCCAAGCCCAACCCATAGTATCTAGACTAATTATTAATTATTATTCGGTTTCCCTTTCCTTGTTGTTTAGGTTATTATTCGGTTTCCCTTTCCTTGTTATTTAGGTTATTATTCGGTTTCCCTTTCCTTGTTGTTTAGGTTTTCCCTTTCGTATTATGCAAGCATGTAAGACTACTATAAGTATTGGTTCGGAGGAATAAGAGAAGTACAAGAAGAAAACCCCTAAACTCCAGTCTACTTTTACTTTGTTATGAATTATGCGATGGACGAACCGATCGTCCATCAATTGGTATCAGAGCCCGGTTCGACGGACGGCGAGGTCTCCCTATTCGCACTTATCGGCTCCCAGGGACACGCACCGAAGCGGATTCCGAGGAGACGAACCACGACGGCAGCCCGCGCATCGGTTCCGGCGAGCAAGAGTAACCGCGGGACCCGGATCCCAATCCGACGGACGGCGAGGTCTCCCTATTCGCACTTACCGGTGTCTCTCACCCAGCAACCTTACGATTTTCCGTTCAGCTGCAACAGGAGACGATGGTGGCGCTAGTCGACAGCGGATCATCGCATAATTTCATCAACCGCCACACGACCAAGGAATTGATGCTGACTCCGAATCCCATACCTCCGTTTTCAGTCAACGTCGCGAATGGCAATGTGTTGCGCTGCGAGTACTGCTATGAGGATGTCGAGCTGCGCATACAAGGAGAGCTGATGCGCGTGGACTTGTATGAGTTGCCCATCAAAGGTCTCGACGTGGTGTTGGGCATTCGCTGGTTACGACATCTAGGGCCAGTCACCATCGACTGGAATCGTTTGACGCTGAAGTTCATGGACGACAATGACCGTTGGGTTGAACTTTAGGGGATCCGAAAGACCATCGTGAAGGACGACCACCTCCATCAGCTGCGACGACGAGAGGTAGCATTCTGGGCTCTCTGCGTTCCCGACCAAGGGGTGGCATCCACGGAATCTCCGGCCAAATTGCAAGAGCTTCTAGGGAGGTACGCCGATTTATTCGAAACCCCGACGCAATTACCTCCCCATCGAATTGCTGACCATCGCATTCCACTGAAAAAAGGGACGGACGCAATCAACGTGCAGCCATACCGCTACACCCACTATCAGAAGGAGGAAATAGAACGTCAAGTAGGAGACATGTTGCGGACCGGGCTTATTCAGCCGAGTTCGAGCCCCTTCTCATCACCCGTCCTTCTCGTCAAGAAAAAGGATGGTACTTGGCGGTTTTGCACTGATTTTTGAGCCCTAAACCAAGCCACCATCAAGGACCGTTTTCCCATTCCTACGGTAGACGACATGTTGGACGAGCTCCACGGCGCAAGGTACCTTACGAAACTTGATTTACGTGCGGGATACCATCACATACGTATGAGTACGGAGGACATTCCTAAGACGGCTTTCCGAACCCACAGTGGCCATTATGAGTATGCAGTCATGCCCTTTGGATTGTGCAACGCTCCGGCAACCTTCCAAGCTGCTATGAACGACATCTTTCGACATCTCCTACGTAAGTCGGTCCTGGTTTTTGTTTTTTTTTTACGATATCTTAATTTATAGCCGAGATTGGGAAACCCACTTCAGCATCTTCACGAGGTTTTCGGCATCTTGCGAAGCCACCAGTACTACCTCAAGCACGCCAAATGCGTGTTCGGTCGTCAGAGAGTCGAGTACTTGAGGCACATCATCACGCCCAAGGGAGTATAGGTGGATAATTCAAAAATTCAGGCAATGGTTGACTGGCCGAGCCCACGTAACGTCTAGGAGCTACGGGGGTTTTTGGGGCTGACTGGCTACTACCGCAAATTCGTCCAAAATTACAGCTCTATTGCTCGACCATTGACTCTGCTGCTGAAGAAAGGGGGCTTCGACTGGACAAAAGCAGCCTAGCAGGCTTTCATCCGCCTCAAACGCGCCATGACTTCGACACCCACGCTCGCAATGCCTGACTTCACAGAACCCTTTACCATTGAAGCTGACGCATCAGGACAGGGCATTGGTGCAGTTCTCTCTCAAAGCGGGCATCCGGTTGCTTACATGAGTCACACCTTGGGGCCCGCGAAGATAGGCTGGTCAACTTATCAGAAGGAAATGTACGCCATTGTTATGGCCGTGCAAACATGGCGACCATACCTCCTGGGGAAGACGTTCCATATTCACACCGATCAACAAAGTTTGCATCATATGCTCGAACAACGAGTTTCTACGCCCGACCAGCATAAGTGGGTGGTAAAATTAATGGGGTATTATTTGAAGGTTCACTACAAACCCGGCATCACTAATAAGGCCGCGGATGGACTTTCACAGCGGCGAGATGAGGAATCCTTGTACTCCTTGACTGCAGCCGAGTTCACCTTCTGGGATGAAGTACGCAAAGCTGTCACTAGTAATTCATATTTGCAGGCTATGCGTGACAAGGCATTATCGACTAATCTGGGTGAATACAAGTATCGACATGGCCTGGTGTTCTTCAAGGGTCGCATTGTTCTTCCACCGGGATCGTCACTAATCACTACTGTCCTCCATGCCCATCATGACTCGGTTCTGGGAGGTCATTCAGGGGTAGAGCGAACCTTGCGACGTATTAACAGGATTTACTATTGGCCACGGATGGTGCAGACCATTAAGGACTACATCGGGGCTTGTGATGTTTGCTAGCGAGTGAAAACGAAAGGGGTGGTACCATCGGGACTGCTGCAGCCGCTCCCGATTCCGCGCCAGATATGGGAGGATATATCCATGGATTTCATCGAGGGTTTGCCGCAGGTGGAGGGTCGCTCGGTTCTCTTCGTCGTGGTTGATCGGCTGACTAAGTACGGGCATTTTATGGCTCTCTCACCCGTATTCAGCTCGGACGGTGGCCGAGGCTTTCATTTCTGGAGTAGTGCGACACCATGGGATTCCAGTAACAATTGTCAGTGACCGAGACCGATTATTTTTGAGTAAGTTCTGGTAGGGGTTGTTCGATCAAGTGGGCACGAAAATCTTGATGAGCATAGCCTATCACCCACAAACGGACGGTCAGACGGAGGTGGTCAATTGCTATCTAGAGCAGTACTTGCGATGTTTCATGCAGCAGCATCCGCGAAGATGGGTTCAACTCCTTCCATGGGCCGAATTATGGTACAACTCAACATATCACCGTACGATTGGGACGACCCCATTCCAGGCGCTCTATGGCCGACCCCCACCTTCTTTGGTTCCATATTCGGATGGGTCCTGTACAGTAGTTGGTGTTGATGAGCTTCTCAAGGAGCGGGATGAACCTTTAGCTTGCCTTCGCAAGATCCTAGCTGCGGCAAACAACAAGGCGAAGCAGCTCGCTGATGCTAGTTGGCGGGACGTCAACTACAACGAAGGGGAATGGTTTCTTCTGAGACTTCACCCATACCGGTAGTCGACCGTGTTCTGCCGAGCTTCCCAAAAGCTTGCTGCTCGATATTTTGGCCCATACCGTATCCTCAAGCGAGTTGGGGCCATCGCCTACAGGTTGGAGTTGCCTTCATCGGCTCGCATTCACCCAGTCTTCCACGTTTCATTGTTGAAGAAATATGTAGGCAATGTCAACCCCCAGCTGGTACCCGCGCCGCCGGTGGGTGATGACTGTGATCTCGAGGTCGTTCCGGTCCAAACACTTGACCATCGTTGGAGTCGCAAAGCATGACGGGTCACGGAGGAGTGCTTAGTACAGTGGCGCCATTTACCACTAGAGGATGCCACATGGGAAGAAGTACAAGCTGTTCGGGATCGATTTCCATCTTTCGACCTTGAGGGCAAGGCCGAGCTTGAAGGGGGGGGGGGGGCAGTGACGCGTACGAAGCCATTCCGCGTCAATCCAGCCGCCAATCCAAGCCCAACCCAAAGTATCTAGACTAATTATTAATTATTAATTATTATTCGGTTTCCCTTTCCTTGTTGTTTAGGTTATTATTCGGTTTCCCTTTCCTTGTTGTTTAGGTTTTCCCTTTCGTATTATGCAAGCATGTAAGACTACTATAAGTATTGGTTTGGAGGAATAAGAGAAGTACAAGAAGAAAACCCCTAAACTCCAGTCTACTTTTACTTTGTTACGAATTACGCGATGGACGAACCGATCGTCCATCAGTTTTCTACCTTAAGCATCAATAGAGTCTATGAATCAAACTCAAAAGGCCATATCATATTAAGGCATCAACCTGAGTAAAGTACAAAGATCCTACTTCCACTAACTTCCAGACTTCCTACTATTATTGCTAAGCTGTACATGTAAGGATTCTTGCTGAGATTGCACTAGAACTCGCAAAGCTTGACATGTTTTGATAAAGTCATGGTATTCCTATTCCATTTCCGCAATCCAAATTTCCCCAACACCAACCATTCATAGGTGTTTTGAACAAATGCTTCTTCTCTAGTTCCACACATAGCCACCATTGGCACGGATTACATGTCCATTGATCCACTCACCGGAATTGGTAGCAAGAAACACGACTACTGTAGCAACGTCCTTTAGTTCACCAATTCGGCCTAACAGGGTCTCATCAATGTTCCTCTGTACCATCTCCTCGGCTTCCCAGCATAATACATCTCTCTGGCAACCAGACCAGGCGCCACGCAGTTAGCAGCAATCTCACTTCCCTGGAGCTCCTTGGCCAGAATCTTCACCATCGCCTCCACAACTGCCTCCAAACTTACCCAAAAGTAAGATCGAAATCTTCCAAGGAGGTATTGGCAATGGAAGTGTACTTGAAATCCAGCACGCCAGCGGAATTCACCGGGATATGAACCTGGGAGACGCCGAAGGCCTTCTCACCCTCGTCAAAGAGGGCCTTGGGCTGGTCGGAGAATTTAGTTATGGTGCTTATAGGACTTAGGTTGAGTATCAAGGTTTTCAACCCACGAATCTGAGAAATCCTGAAACCCTGGCAAAAGATTAGGGTAGAAGTGGTAGAGAAGGGAAGAGGCAACGTTGGGGAATTGGCCGATTAGGCTTCATTCCATTTTCTGAAAGCTTACATACATCTTATCTACAGCTAAGTTACCACTACAGAACAAAGAAGGTAAAGTATAATAATGTTTACTAACAGTAACTAATCTATCCATTCACAAAACGCCAAGTGGCAAGCTATCTATTATTCTCTGGATCCGATGTCGTTTTCTTCTTGTAGAGTCTACTACTTAGATGAAAGCGATGCCAGATTGATGCAGTCTCTTCTCCTCTTTGACTCAGGTGAAGGGAAGCCCGAGTCGACCCTGAACCTTCAAGCTCTCCATCAATGGCTACCAACAGCATCACTCCTTCATAGGCCCCCTCAAGCTGGGAGGAACATATCTTGAACTCCTAGCTTGGTGAGAAGAAATTCAAAGCGATCAGAAGAAAGCCCTTTAGTAAAGAAATCCACTAGTTGTTCTTCTGATTGGATGTGATGCAGAGAAAGTAATCCATACTTCAGTCTTTCACGAGTTACATGACAATCAACTTCAATATGCTTCGTACGCTCGTGAAAGACTGGATTTTCTGCGATAAGTAGTGCAGATTGGTTGTCGCAATAGACCCGAATAGGTGATGGATGCTCAACACCATAGAATTCCAGAAGTGACTTTAGCCACTGAACCTCACAAGAGAGCTGACCAAAGCTCTGTACTCTGCTTCAGAGGATGAACGAGACCCGAGTTGGCCCGGACTAGTTCACGAAAATGGGCAACAGCAACCCATTTAAGTGTCCGCCCGGACTTGGTCAAACCAGATAAAGCCCGGCAAACCCGGGCGGTTGGACCAAGGGAGCGGGTCAGCGGGCTGGCTTTCCGTGGGGCGGCGTTTGGAATTTTGGCTTTTCTTCCCTCCTTTTCGGTCCGAATTGGGGAGGCTGAAGACAGAAGAGCGCAAAATCGAAACCCTAATCCGATCACTTCTTCTCTTTACTAGTCCGCCACTAGTCGTTCTTCTCCCCAACTCGCAGCCGCTTCAAACAGGTTGACAGAGGAACAGAGGCGGTTGCGTAAGGTTGTTAGGGATTTGAAGCAATTAGGGGGCTAGGAGTATTAAATGAAAATTGAACGGTTGATTTGACCGATGATGGAAGCAAAAGCAGTGAAGAAAACAACGAAGAACGGCCAGAGATGAAGGGTTGATTGGGCGTAGAAAACGAGTGGAAGATGGGTAGTTTTTTATTGAAAAACTATTCAACACTTTTAATGCAACAGGATTATGGACTATGAGGCTATGATCTTTTTTTTTATAATAATATTTTATTCATTTTATAAAATAAAGATTTTGTTTCCGGTGAATATATATTAGACGGTTCAGATGAAAGTGCAATAATTGTTCTCTTCGTAAAATAGTAGTAGTTGTTCTCTTTTAACAATTGAATTTTTACGTGTTGTATTACAATAGTGGGTTTAAGTATGAATTATTATTTTGGTATAGTATTATACATTATTGTCTATATATTAAATGAATTTATATAATTTGTATTATGTATAAAATAATGATAATTTTCATATATTCGGGTTAAATCGGGCTATACCGGTTGACCCATTAACCCTTGACCCACTAGTAAGACCGGGCAACGGGGTAATCCGGGTTGACAACCTTGGTGAGTATATACTCACAGGGCCGGATTGGCGTCAGCATGTGAGGGAGTAGAGCCGAGTTCATCGGCTGGCCTTAAGCACACGGAACGGGAAAGTGTGGCCCGACGGGCCGCCAAATTAAAAAACACTCTTTTAATTGTGTAGGGATTTATCAATGGAAAGAACTAAAACAACTACGAAGAGACGGCGAACCGTTGACGGGACCCTCCAAGCCTCATCGCGCCAAACAACCACTTCCAGAACCAGAGCAACAGGAAAATGAGGACCAGTAATATGAGGACCAAGAAAATGAGGATCACGAAAATGAGGACCAAGAAGATGAGGAAGAAGTTGCTGAAGGGGGACGTCGGTCATAGTTTAGATTTTGCTGTAACACCAGTAAGGTGTTGTCGATTATAAAATTTTGGAAGCAAGATGCACGATACTATGAATCTTGCAAGAAAGAGGTAGAGAAGGCTGGATTTGGAGGCTAATTGGAGCTTCGATTTGCCAAAGTTCCTAAGAAGATGGTGGATTCCTTGATGGAAAATTAAGACCTGCGCACCGATAGCTTCATTTTTTGTGAAGGGGAGAACAAGAAGGTTCTCACCATCGAAGATAAGGATGTTGTTTGTGTATACGTCATTCCTATTGGTAGTGCTGAGATTGACCTCGTGAAATTTAACAAGAAGATGCTAGAGGTTCTCAAAGAGGAGATCAACATGAATGCTAACCGTAGCCGAAATGTTAAAATTGTGGCAATGATTGAGAAGGCATGTGGTAGTAAAGAGAAGAGGAGACCACATGTTGCCGTTGTAGTGAAGCACTTCCTGTTGGTGGCTCTTGGTTCGTTGCTGGCTCCAACAAGCTCACGCATCTATAAGTTGGACTATGCAGGGTACCTGGCTGGGAGGGTGGAGAACATTCGAACTGAGTGCTCATGGTGTCCATGAGCTGAAGGTAGAGATGGCTATTACTAAGAGAAGAGAACCTACTGCTAGGGCTCTGGGAAAAAAAATTCAATTGCTTATCAGGGATATCCACTTCTTGATGGTAAGTTATAATTTAACGTTGTGTATATTGTTCATTTCAAGCATGATATTAGTTAGCATTCTTGGGATAGTAGTTAGCATGTCTGAGATAGTATTTCTCTTCATACCCGATATCAGTTTAGAATGTCTGTGATATTAATAACCATAGTACTTCTTTTAAAGCCGAATACCAGTTATAATTGTTCGTGATATTAGTTTGTTATTCTAGAGATAGTAATTAGCATGGCTGGAATATTAGTTCTTATCATTCAAGATATCATTTCGATTAAAGCTTGATATTAATAACCCTTCCTAGGATACTACTGATTAATGATGTGGGTATTAGTTATATTTGGAAATTACTTCATTCATTGACACATATAAATTAAACATTTTTTAGCTTCATTTGCTAGACTTCCTTATCGTGAGAGGATTGGCCACAAACACCATCCCGAGTTGGAGCTATTGGTTCGAACCAAGGGTGGATAAGGTATGCTTGGATGTCCCCATGATGACGAATATAATATGGGTCCCATATTGCTATCGAGGGAAGCAGTCTGACCTCGCTTCCGTCTAGGACGTGTCATTAGTGTTTACGAATCAGGAACAAACAGCTCAGCTCCTCCTACAACTCCTCCATAGTTCTACAAGACGGATTGGTGGGAGGAAATAGACTTGGAAACCATTGAGACCGAAGAGGTATGTAGATGATTGTCTTTGCAACTGAAAATCGTGGGTTAGTATACATGAGTGCATGTGGTGAACTACTTTTTTTACAACATATGTGTAGCTTAAGGCATTGCAGTCCTTGAGTGAAAAAGCGATGGATAAGTGGGATTCAAGGCGTGAAAGTGTCTGAAGCGTCGCCATTTAGCGCCAGCAAGACAATAATTGAACTTTGCAATTTTCTTCTATTTAAATTGTTGTTATGTTTCTTGTTAGGATGTTATAATTGCCATGTTGGAATGACTTTGAGGATGTTTTGTATCAAACAAAAGTTTGTTTATTGTGGCTTTGGTGTGTACCAGTTGCTTCTGGATATTATTTATAAACTGCTTGAATAACAATTGCTTCATGATTAGATACTATTCTGGGCAGTCTGGATAATAGTTGCTTCATGATTAGATACTATTCTGGGCAGTCTGGATAATACATTTTATATGCTTGCACGTGTTTATCCATCTCGACTTTCTAGGTGCTGAGAACGACAGGAATATGGGTAGATTAGCGGACTTATCTTCGTCGTTGGTAGCAGCTACCAAAGCAAAGACGGAAAGGGAGGAAGATCTGGTAGTTGTCATGAAGGAGGAAACTAGTCAAGGTACCGTGAGAGGCAAGAACATGTTTAGCCGTGTGTACTCCCGGAAAGCACGCCAGAAGATAGTGGTGCCAGTTGTTCAGGAGATGGTGGAGCCAGCCATTGCGTCGACTTTTGATGACGTGGTAGAGTTAGTCGTTAAGTTGAATGTTGAAGATCTGGAGTCAGAGTCCATTTTTGTGCCCGAGGTGATGGCACTGTTGTTGATCCAGTTGTTCAAGAGATGGAGGAGCCAGTCGTTGCGTCGACTGTTTATGACGTGGTGGAGTTAGTCGTTAAGTCTACTGTTGATGAAGTGGTGGAGTCATAGTCAACTGTTGAGCCAATGATCAAACATTATGGTGACCCACTGCAGATAGCTATCTAAACCACTACTACTGTTCAAGAGAGTATAGCGACATCTCTAACTATGGTAAGTTTGTTTACGGTGGATATAAGTTATTGGTGTATAATAGTTGGTTTCGGATATTATTTACAAACAGCTTGAAAATAACAATCATGAGATACAAGTTGACTAACTGTGGATATTGAAATGAAAGAACTCGATAATAGATCCTATATTGTTAGATACTAATATGGGCTATCTAGATAATATTACCTTAATGAGTAGATACTTCTCTAGGCTGTCTGGGTAATAGTTTCTTCATGACTAGTTACTACGTTTTGTCGATGGTCATACATTATGCTGACCCATATACAATATTTGACGATGTTTTGCAGATAGCTATCCAGGCCACTGCTACTCAGGAGATTATCGCGACATCTCCGACTACGGTGGTCACTCCTTCTATTGAGGTTATGATGCAGGGAGATGGAGGACCATCTGAGGAGGAGCTTATAGCAACAACTTACGAGAGGATGGAGGAGAGTGACGATGAGATTATAACGCAATATTGGGAGAGGACTGAGGAGAAGCCAGAGAAGGTCTACTCCATCACACCTTCAGCCTGGAATGCAACCCTAAATACTCCAGAGTTCCAGAGGTCAAAAAAGCACCAATTGGGCGATTCAGTGTATGATTTGCCGAAGAATGTCGACGAAAATCGACGAGATAGCTCGTCGCGTGGTTGAGTTCATCTTCAGCTCCACTAATGAAAACGAGTAAGTTTTCTAGTTATATTATGGCATGGCCAATTTTAATTTGTCCAACACACATTCTAACCCGGTTTTCATTTGTCTTTTACAGTAGCAACTTTGTCATGGATGCTCTAAACTGTAAGCTTTCCTGTTTCCAGTTCCTTACATTGAAGTGCACCACTTGGGTGCATAGCCAAATAGTTGAAGCATACGGGCAATACCTAAACGACAAAGAAGTATAGCAGGGGGTGGTGAAGGGAATTATCTTCCCATGGAGTTATGTTGTAAGTGTGTTCTTCACTACTTAGATCCTACTTATATTGAAAATGCCTAATTTGGTATTGTTGTCCCTTCTACATAGCATCATGTCGTGGATAATGCTATAAAAAACAGCTCGTGGATAAGGAGAAACTCGGTGCAATAATTACTTTGGCCAAAAAGAATCCACTGCTAAAACGTGCCAACTTGGAAACATCAAACATGTGATTATGTAAGTGATCGTCGAGATACTTGTTTGCAATGTTTGGATTTTACTATGTTTTTCTTTTATATCAGTCTAGGTTGTTAGGATATTGGTCTATGTTATAAAGATTTTAGTCTAGGTTGTTAGGATATTAGTCAATGAATAACTGACTATGTGCTTTGTGTTTCAGATCTTCTTTCCCAGGTATCTAAATGATCACTACCAAGTGTATGTTGTTGACATGAATAATATGAAGACTTTCCTACTCGACAGTATAAAACCCGATGCACGAGCGGCTAAGGTGGATCATGAACCAATTGGGAGAATGATTTTTTAGTATGGGGCAGCGTTCCTCACAAACCAGGGGGTCAATTGTACATTGAATGAGTGGGAATTCAACGTTGTCAATGTTTCTCAGCAGGTTGGCAACAATGGTTGCAGAGTATTTGCATGCATTTACATGGAGCAATGGGCGGGTCACCTTCCAGTGGAATATAAAGCAAGTTTGCACAAGGAGCCGCACATGGAGAAACACGAGCACACATTGTGGCCAACCTCCTTTTCTGGCACTATAACCGCCGCAAAGAGTACATAATAAAATGTGCAAATGATTGGAATGTGCAGAAGGAGAAAGGAACAGAAGTTGATATTTAGATTTGTGTAGTATTGGTCTGTAAAACTGAACATAGGGTTGCATAATATCTTGGTGAAGGATACTGGTTTGTATCAGGATGGATAATATTTTGCCTAAGGATGGATATAATTATTAGTTTAAGTTCTAATGCAAAACTATATGCTAACAGTCCAGACTAATATCCATCCAAATGCAAAACAATATCCTAACAGCCAAGACTAATATCCATGGTCACACAGAAAACACGGACAAATATTCGTAATGCCGAAGATAATATCTAGATGGTTTAATAAAGACAGATAGTGATTTGCTTAAAGATGGATACTTATTTCAATAACACTGAACAGTAGATAAAGATGGATAACACTTTGAATAAGAAACAGAAACTACTCAACACAATAGAATACAAACTAACGACCGAAAATACTAGTTCATTTCTTCACGGTCTCCTCGGTATTATCTTCATCATCCGAAACTGAAAAATTGGGGAACATTGCTTCGTCCAATTCCAGGTAGAAACTACACACCTGGTCATTTTTGTACTCGTACAATGGACATCGAAAATACCTACTTGCTCAGCTGACTCCATCAATAGCAAATCATCTACTGGCTCTCCAACCATGGTTACAGAACACAACACCATCATATTCGAACTCATCCACCATGAGTACAGTAACAAAAAAATTCACATGGGAATAGTGAAAGAACGAATCATTGGTACTCTTTGTATGGAAGGAATCACATGGGAATAGTTACCAAATGATAATATACATGATTCATAAAAAATAATATAATATCCACTAGTTAAAAAAATAATATCCAGATAAAATAATATCCAAACTTTATAAACTAATATCTTTTCAAGACAAAACTAATATTAGCTCATACCCCACAAATACAAACACCAACTAGTTTAATATCCGACCACATAAACCTTAAACCCTGAACCCTAAACCTAAGTTCATGATACTTGAAATCATACTTGACAAAAGTGATGGTAGAAACTTAAATAAACAAAGAATCACATGGGAATAGTAACATAAACTAATATCATACATAAACTAATATCCGTCTATCACTAAACAATATCCATTACTAGCGGAATAATATCCTACCTATTACAAAAACATATCCTGTCATCAAATGTCAATATCATATCACAACAGACCACTCTCGAAGCACCCTACATTCTATTCATAACCATTTCCGCAATATCATCTTACAAATCACTAAGATGGTCATCTGGTTGAGTACTGTTGTCTATGGCATCATCTTCGACTGATTTCATTCTATTCTTATAGACACGTTTCTTTTGACTGCGTTCTTTTTCATTCATAGACTAAAAACGTTCCTTTTCGTGGCTTCTTGGATTACTCTTCTCCTTCAAAGTCAGCACACTTATCGGTACAGACTATCCTATACAATGTTAGAGAATTTAGTACGTCATGCAATGATATTAAACTCTAAAAATGTACAAATGATATTAGTGAATACACTTACTGCCCTTGCTAGTTATACTCTTTGACAATTCCTTGTTTGCTTCATTGCACAGTTTCTTGAGTGCTCCCATCCACTTGTTGTAGTCTTTCTCATTGGCCATCGACAGGTTCATTGCTAGATGATTCAACATTGCAGTGATTTCTCAGTACCGCATTGCTATACCTTTTCCCACATCATTCTCAATGGCAGCAGCTGAAGGACCAACTGAACAATCCACATCAACAACCTCTTTCTTTCTCGCCTAAAACGTCCATCGCTTGAGTATGTAATGCTCTGGAATACTTCTCATACTAGCATTCCCAAAATCTCCAAGCAGCTGCATCACTATAATCATGTGGCGGCGTAACACTCTGAAATTTATGAACATCATGCATTCGCATACTAATGTCCTCGTACAAATATCGACAATAATGACACTCTCATCACTACGCTCTTCATCCTCGATCTTATATGTGAGGTAGCCAACCAGATACTAATGTCCTCGTACAAATATCGACAAGAATGACACGCTCATCACTACGATTGCACAAGACAACCATTAATGACAATGCATAACCGAACGAGTGTTCGAAAATTCAAGGCATTTAGGTGATTCATGTACCCAGTGGACAGAAGTATTTATTGGTGCGGAAGGTCGTATAAAAGGAGACCGAGTCTCCAAAAAGCGCATAATTTTCACGCATCCTACTGTCCGCCCAAAAAATAATAGTAACTATCTCCTCGCAATCTACCTCTACAGCATAAAAGAAGTCGGGATGCTTTTCCTTTTGGTCCTCAAAGTAGTCAAGCAAATAAGTTGCTTCCCCACGAGCCATTTTCTTTTGTCTTTTACTATTCAAGTGGTTCTTCTAATCGGATTTGGTAAGAGTCAGATTCTGATACCCACCGGCACACTCCGCCAGTAGCTGATGCGATGCGTTAAGACTCATCTCGGTATCGCGATTAGCTTCGACCATCTTTCGCTGAGCATCACTCATTCACTTGTTGGACTTGATTAGATGTGTATGCTCGGTGCAGTGCAAATCATGATTGTGGGCTCCCACGAATTCATACACCACAAATCCGTCCCTAGTATCATCCCATCGATAACGAACACGGGTGCTACATCCAACCGTAACTCGAGGACTCTTTCTTTTAGGGCGCCTTCTCTCCACAACCTTGTCTTCGGACTGTTTCTGTTTCTCCATATTTACTTTGCTAGTGGAATCCCAACCTTGCTTATTACAAAAGTAATAAAGGTAGAAATAAATTTTCTCCACCACTCCTTTAGAATTCTTCATTTTTCTGGCGTGTTCCACGTCTTTTCGAACACCAAAACCTTTTTCGTGAGCATAATGTTTATAGAAAGTCAAACACTCTTCCTTAGCGCGATAAAATATGGTATTCCTTGCTTCCTCATCTTCTAGGTCTGATGTCTTGTGAGCTGTGAGTTAATTGTATGAGGACGTGTTAGTATCCATAATTAACATGCCCAGACTAGTATCCAATGTACGTCTAAATCATACCCATAGAATGTTTGAATACTTAAGTTTCAAAAAGTATCCAACATTACAATATATCTTATCCTTTTATCCCAGAAAAGTATCCATCACGCCAAA